GACTCGGTGAAAAAAGAATCTCGCAGATACGCTTCTGTAAGCGGAACTGGCAACATCTTATGGGAGGGACGGCGACGGCTGAGGACAGAAATGACATTTTTTTCTTAGTTTGTTGACGAGTATAGTGTGACAAAAAATGATGTGTCGCGCAATATAAACTGTCCACAATTTTCTTATACAGGGTGTCCCAGGTAACTTTAGCTGCAGAGTTTAAAAATATGCCGGCACACGCTGTTACGACGCGACCAAATGCATGTTGCTCACCATTGCCTGGCCCTTAGTCTATTTTTTTGTGTCCTGAAATGTGGTTTAACTAGATACATTTAATTAACTAACTTTTCAAGAAACGAAGATAGATAAAAAAATTAAGTGAGAAAGCTGTAGAATGGTTTGCAAACGTCCAATTAGACAGTTTTGAACTGTATCATCTGTTAGGTTCTGCTAAATTACAAATGCCCGCGAAATACAAAAAAAAAATACCACGTGACAAACCCGCTCGTGCGCCAGTGCGCACAATGATTCTAGTGCTCCCTAACGTTCCGCGTACGAACGACCAAAGCATTTACCTCATTGTGCTGTCCCGGCAGGGCGGCAATGATGGTTGCTATCGTCTTGCTATCGGCCACAATAACGATAACCGCTGTGGCTGCTTATCGCTGTCATGAACCTGTGTGAGGGAAGCGTGTTGTTCGTAAGCGGAACATTAGAGAGCACTAGAACCATCGTGCGCACTGACGCGCGAGCTAGTTTGTCACGTGGTATTTTTTTGTATTTCGCGGGCATTTGTAATCAGCAGAAAAACACTGATAACCGTAACAGATATAAAGTTCAAAACTATCTATCTAGACGTTTTGCAAACAGATCTACAACTTTCTCATTAAAACTTTTTATCCATCTTCGTTCCTTCGAAAGTTAGTTAATTAAACAAATCTAATTAAGCAATATTTCAGAACATGAGAAATAGTCTGATTAACTCCATGCAAAGATGAGCAACATACATTTTGTTGCGTCGTAGTTACGTCTTCCGGCATATTTTTGAACTCTGGCTAAAGTTACGTGGGACACCCTGTATATCAACGTTATTATCACCGATGAATGAACTTCATACAATTATTTTTTTTCACTGAAATAATTAAAGAAAAAGGTTGCTGCTCTAAGTAAGAGAAAAAAAAAGTCAGGACATTGCATGCAGAAGTTTGAGATGACCTTCTGGATTGTCTGCAGATATGACATCTACTTGTCTGACAGCACATATCTTTTGAATATAAAAGTATGGCAGCTGGACAACAGAAACACGGGTTTATATTCTTCGTCTGCTTACAATGATGATTCAGAAAGAGCGAAGTGTACTCCATTCAGTCGCACAAGAAGACTGGACGTTTTCTTTTTTTTTTTTGTCCTTATTAACTTCCTAGTATATAGCTATACTTACATGCGGCCCGTGCGGCTCTTTCTTATTTGCTACTTGTATTCTTTCCACGAAGCTTGCGAACATGTACTATATTAATTTTGTCTCTGCCAACGACAATGCCTTTTGTTCCTCAGAGCCACGCGAGATAAAGCTGCATGACCGCAAATGATAAATATAGGTGGGACCCGAAAGCGGCGAAGGAGCGAGCATTTTCGCGAGCGGCTATGGTCGACGAAGAAGTTGTCACGCCCACTCTATAGGCTGCTTTTGATCACACGGAAGCCGTCGTTGACGCTGCGTCGTAGGCTGTGTACATATATACACCAATGGTTGCAACCACTTTAAGGGATGTCATGAAGCACAGGTTGCCGACAAATGATGACAGTGATGATAATGAGCGTGATTATGATGATGATATTCCTCGGAATATTGGCACCTGCAAAGTCACCTGTTCACTCAGATTGATCGGTGAAATTTTCGGTGGGCCGTTATATAGTCTGAAATATTTTAAACGCTAATAGAGGTTAGTGTCAATTAAAACGAAGAGTCAGCTGGTGTTTATGATGGCGGCGGTGGTGGCGATGACAATCCGTAAATACGTGGCAAGCAAACACTATGAGGGATGAACCGTCGAATAAGCAGTGGTGCACCGTGTCATTAGCTTTGTTGTTGCAGTTATTACTTCTCTATAGCTGCGGTTTGGTACGACGTCTGTACCAGTGACCAAGCTTCTGATTTTTCGCATATCGTTATGAAGGTCACAACGAGTTTATAAAATATGATTCAATACGATAAGCGCCTAGTGTCAGACGAGATTGATTGGCGATTGAATATTTCGTGAGATGTAAAAGAATATCCTCTTGTAGTGAGGAAAAGGAAGACGACGAGTCCGCTGTGGTTGCTGCTGTGCACCGGAGATCTGCGTTTCCGTCAGGTCGGCGCTACCGTGACTGGGAATCGTTGCTGCGTTCACAATAAATCGTCTTACGAGATTTGGTGGAGGTGGTGTGTAGACATCCTTGCGAGTGATTCTATTGAGCCGACGATAATCTACAAAGAAGCGTATACTGACCTGTCCTTCTTGCATGCCATCGCGACAGGAGACGCCTAAGGGCCATTACACCGTGCCGCAGCATATCCTCGATTTGCTGGCTAATTACCCGTCGCTTGGCAGCCGACACGGGATACGGGCGCTGGTGTAATGGAGGATGGGAACCCGTGTGTCAATGGCGAAGCTAAGACTTTCGCCACTAGCTGCTAATCCAGTCTTCGTGACGTGATAGGTCAGATGAAGATGAGCATATTTTGTTTGCTTGTCAACATTATGAAAGAGATGGTGAAGAATACTGCTAAATGCTCAAAACGTAGCGCATACACTTGAGATAGAGATCGGCCACTCGCTGATAAACTGGTGCAAATAACGGTGTAAAAAAAAAAGGAAGTTGGTGTACATGCGCTTCTTGCCTTCTACCGCGGCCAACAAAAGTAGCTGGTATCGAGAGCTTTGCCTCGCTGCTGATTACACTTGTTATTTTTTTTCTAACTCTCCACACGCCATTCTTGATGTAATCCCCCTGTCGGCTTCTCTACAGGATGCCACTATCAGGTCAAACCTGGTTGTCAGTCATGGTAGCTGCAATCTTTTCAGGTGCACACCAGCAAGAACAAAGTATTACCGTTTTTTTTTTATTACTCAATCGCCACTTTTCAATTGATGTGCTTTAACTCCTTTTTGGAGACTCTTACACTTTCTTCGGAATCTTGTTTCGAAGAAACACACACGTGCACGCACGCACCCACACCCATAAAAAAAAAAAACACACCAGTGAACAGACATTCACAACAGAGGCGTAGCCAGGGGGTGGCATACCGGCCCCCCCCCCCCCCCCCCGACCAATTTTTTCTCGCCATGGCAGCGAAAAAATGACCATTTCAAAAAAAGTGACCCCCCCCCCCCGCCCCCCTGAAAAAAATTTCTGGCTACGCTCTTGATTGACACATCAATAATTCAGTGAATACCACAGAAGGCACAACATACATTTATTTAACCATGTACAACGAACAGTGAAATCACAATGACCTCGTATTGATTGATATGTGGGGTTTAACGTCCCAAAACCACTATATGATTATGAGAGACGCCGTAGTGGAGGGCTCCGGAAATTTAGACCACCTGGGGTTCTTTAACGTGCACTCAAATCTGAGCACACGGGCAATGACCTCGTAAAAGGAACTCTATGAGTACAGTATGGTAACGCGCTCACAAATGCCGAACATGCGTATATGTCGAAGTTTTGCACAACTGTGAAAAAAAAAAACGAAGTGAACATGGTTGGATTGACCAACAAGTCATGTGATTTTTAAGAAAAGCACAGCGCCCAGTTTGTCAGCGTTGTCAGGATGAACCACGAGAAAGCAGTTTCTAAGTACTTCCTCAACTTTACGCATCGGTGTCATTTGTGTCAGCGGGTGTTATTAATCCCATGCCAACAAATTTCCATTGGAACACTTAAAATGACACTAAAGGAAAGGTGATCTTTTTCGCATATTTATTTTTGAAACACTGAACTGGTACTTGAAACAGCAGTAAAGCAAAACAAAAAAGAATAGCTTCAATGAAAACTTCAAAGTTTTCCAAGCGTTCATGGCATCTTCTCTAAATGATTCACTGCGGCCGTACTTGGCCGCATAAATGTACAAAGAGGGCCTGTACACAAACAATTAATTCTCAAGGTTTCCTTTTCAAAAAGAGCGAAACTAGGAGAAACATTCCACGATATCGAGAATTCACGCCGTGGGTGTGGCGCTTAATGGTGGAGCACAATATCAATTTCAGTCAAGGTGTATACAAATGTACACGCCAACTTCAATAGCACGTCATGCACCGCGTGTTTCATCAAATGGCTTGAAACTTAGCGTGCAAATTCGTGCAGGAACCCCTTAGGGGACAACTGGTTATCATTTAACTTCATTATGCTGCGTATTGCTGCAGAGAATCACTTTGCTCGATACACTACCCCGTTAGACTATTGTTTGATGTGACGCATTCCATGACCGATGCGAAAAGTATTTCTTCTTCGCTCGAAACAAATACAAAAAAAAACTAACTTTGCATGCATTTCGGACGTAACTGTGGATTCTTTTTATGCAAGTACTGATGTTGACTGGTGGCAGAAGAATTCGATAATTAGTCACACCCGCATTACCTTAATTACTAAAACTCACCCAAAGCAACGCTTCCCTTAATCTTTTTACTTGGAATGTGATACCGAGTGCCTTAGGATTATGCACGTGAATTTGATGCGTTTCTGACAGAGCATCATAATTTGTGACTGCAGCGCAAAATGGTGAGCTTCTCCTTTGTTTGACTGTACAATCAAACACGACTATATTAAACTCGCGTAAATCAAATAAAAGTTGTCTATTAGATTATACGACATATTGAACTACTTCCCATTATTACTATCCCTTCTTTTTTGCGAGTTCGATATATGCGGGTCTGATTGCAGAAAGCCACAATTCTTTCCAGTGCGTGAGGGCTCAAGCCTACGACGATTTACCGATTAATGGCGTAATTTATTGCCCCTAATCATTGATTTGCCTTGACCTCTCCTTTGGAATACTGCGGGATGATGAGAAAGTTCCTGCTGACGTGTCGCCCGTGCAGTGGCATAGTTGGCCGGAAGTTGTTCACCAAAGGCTCGTAGTCTCCTTTGACCGCACTTTCAACTTCCAATTGACGAAATGCCTTCAACTGCAAAAAAATTAATGAATAAAAAAAGGAAAATAAATAACGCATCTATGTCGCAAGAAGGTATGTGGCCGGATAGTAGTGCTGTTTGATGCTTTTCAGACCTTTGTCTGAACAATCAGTGCTGGAAATACGACATGATTCTTGTGCTCACAGAAAATCAGTGAAGGCCTTACTGAACTTTTTGCGTGGCAGCGGCCTATTGTATAGACTGTAGCACCCCAGCTCCCCCCCACCTTTTTTTTTTGCGCGCGTCTATTATCCTCTTCGCTTTCTTTCCAATCTTTCTTCCCCTTCCCCTAGTGCAGGGTAGCAAACCGGATGCTCCATTTTCTGGTTAACCTCCCTGCCTTTCCCTCATTTTACTCTCTCTCTCTTCATTTCATTTAATTTCAACCTTAAGGGCCCGAAGGCATTACATAAGGGGGGGGGGGAGGGGTCATACATCCAGGTTGCAAGTTTCTAAGCAAGGTAACAATATGAGGGTGCACACTGATTACAATGAATAAGCGAATAAAGAACACAAGCGGAAATAACACGCATAACAAAACAAAAAAATATGATAGGCGATAAATAAACTCTGGGAGTACAGTAAAACAACTATAAACGCAAGAGTTAATGTGCTGTTAGGACATCTCATTTGGCTTCTACGCGCCTTTGCGTGTCCGTGTTTCCTTGTGCGTGACATCAAGATTACTGTGGTTGAAACTCACTTCCTGAAGGCATGGCCGTACGTTTCCACGGAGAGGTCGTGGCATATCACTTTGATTTCTTCGAAACGTTTTAGTGCAGAAATAGCCTGTAAAGTTATTGAAGGAGCCCTGCACAACTTTTTTTTTTCAAGTAGCCATGGAATGGATTCGGTGAAGGAGCTCATTGTTTCACGAATTGTCCACCGCAAGAATTTTCAAAATCCGTCCAGTACGAGCGGAGTTACAAGGATTTGTCGCACGCTGCAATCGCATTCTCTCTTCTCTCGTCCCGACGAGAGCGCTGGAAGCTAATCAGGGAGCGATGGCAAGGGAGAAGGAGGTACGTCGCGCGCGCCTCGTGACCTCGAGCACTTTTTTTTCTTTTTTTCTTCGAACGCATGGCTTGTCATGTATGGCTCTATATCCATCATACATGGCTCTCGCGTTCGCTCGACTACCAATGCGCAGCGCAGCGCTTTCTGGCCATGTCCGAAACGCCCGGTGTCACCGAGCGTGCTCAAATGCGGCCCTGGAAGGTGTGCCGTTGACGTGCGAATTCGTATGTGCAATTTTTCGATAATTAGTGGCTTTCTCGATCACGGTTTCATCGACGATCGGCCGTTATTAAAACGTTTATCTGGTTCTTTATTGGGGCATTTTTTTTTTGCATTGCTTGCTGGATATGACCGCGTGGACTTCGATGTTCGAATGGCATTTGAATAACTAAAGTGTTGCGATGCTAAGGCGCGTGAACGTGTAATTTCCGGCATAGTGGAAAGAAACAGTTAGGAAGGAGCACTGCACTATGTGATTGTCAGAAAAAGAAAAAAAACAAAAGAAAAGAAAGAAGGAAAGAAGAAGAGAAGGAAAGATAGAAAAAAGCCACGGAGATGCCAAATTTCGCTTGCCCCATTTTCCTGATAAGAGAATCATCATCATCATCATTATTTATTTATTTTCCCTTAAGGGCCCTTGACGGGGTATTACATAAGGGGGGGGGGGTCGAACAAGAATACACAAGGGCGATTCTAGACCGAATCGCTCCCGAATTTTTTAACAAAACCTCTTTACACGGTGTCCTGTGTTCTTCCAATTCGCTCACAAAAATGTGAACTGGAGTTCCCTGAAAGGCCTATCAAGAACGTCGATATATCATGGACACCATCAAGCAAGCGTAGTAGTTTGTCGTCTGCTTGTAGTGCGTAATGATGAGATTCGATCTATTGCACTTGCCTGTGTTTCGCTTATTTTCCCCTGACGCTTGAGAATAACCCACGTGACCGCCTCAGCGCAGGGCGGCGTTGTGAGGGATCCCCGGTAGAAGTAGGCCTGCCTCGGATTCCCCGGGAGTAGGTCCGCCAGCGAGATGGCCTTGGACAGCTTCGCTCGGTTGATGTGCTGCTTGAGCATGAAGTCCAGCGAATGCACGACGCTGTTCAACGCCCGGTTGTCTTGTCGAGAGACCTGCAAAGAAGCCGACTCTCTTGATCACACCTTCTCGTTGCACATTGTCGAATCTATCTATCTATCTATCTATCTATCTATCTATCTATCTATCTATCTATCTATCTATCTATCTATCTATCTATCTATCTATCTATCTATCTATCTATCTATCTATCTATCTATCTATCTATCTATCTATCTGCACATAAATGTTTGCCAGAAAGTAGAGCGGCAGATATGTTAAGGTAGGTTGTCACACACGCCCGTAGGAGACCTGGCCAATATTTTAATCCTTGTTTAATGTGCAAGATGCCCAGAAAGTGAGTACGGTCTGAGAACCATTTAAGTCAACACACACACACACACACACACACACACACACACACACACACACACACACACACACACACACACACACACACACACACACACACACACAGGCGCGCGCGCGCGTGTGTGTGTATCTGTACGCGGTTGCATGCGCGTGTAGATGTACATGTGCGAAATGTGACAGCTTCTGGGAGATCGGAGATGGTGAACCCCCTTTTATAACCCTCACGGCAACGTACTATCCTTCTGTTTTGTCTTGCCAAGTGGACTTAGTATTGCCCCATAATAATAAAGTAAAGAAACACGTACACCTAGCTGACGAAGTGGCACCAATATATAGGTTCTGCTTATGAAACAGTAACGACAGCCAAGTATCACTTATGACGGCATACCGCGAAAAGCACGCCGATAACCAGGAGACCATCAGAATGTCTGTAGGCTTCCTCAGCCGTGGCGTATTTCTTGTTAGTGTGCACCAGATGCATCTGAAAAAAAAAAAACACAGGAGGTAAGCATCCATCTTGAACTATGACATCCGTCTTGACAGATATATCTGAACTGGAACAGTGACAAAACGCCAACATGATGCAGTGCTTCAGCAAAGGCGTCTGAATATTCACTGTACAGAGTATCGGCATTCGCGTAATTTATGCCACCATCTTAAGGCACTATATATAAGCACGTCGAGAAGCTGTATTAAAGGAAAAACGTGAGAGCAGCTAGTACAGGCGTGTAAATTGTGCTAACCAACTACCAACGTCAAACGCAAGGCGACGTGCACGTGATGGTTTTGTGTAGTGAGGTTTCCGTGGTCGCCATGTTTGGGTATACTATATATATAGCATAATGGGAGGGTACTTCGGTGACATTACTTGCAATATATCCAGAGCTTGTAGTAAACATTGATCGGAGGAAAGTCGAAACAGAACTAAATGGACAAAGGTACATACACACAAAATAAATCATTCAGTGGCTTCGATCGAAATTCCAAGTCTATTGATGCAAATGACGTTCATACGAGTGGTACCCTGCATGTCCCTGCAGTAAATTCGACCAGTATTTTGGTGGTTTATTATTTATTTATTTATTTATTTATTTATTATTTATTTATTTATTTATTTATTTATTTATTTCTGTATCTCCAGGGCCCGAAGGCGTTAAATAAGGGAGTGGATAAGAGTATACATAATAAGAAAAATAAGAGTGAAAAAAAAAAACCTGCTAAGAGTAAACATCGCATTCAACAGCAGCCTTAGAAGCAGTGACATCGGTCAATTGGGCAACAGAGGAGGGTTTCAGTTTCAGCAGTTCACAGGGGTTTTTTTTAGGGGCGAAGCTCCTTAGGGCGTGGGCTGTGCGTCCCCTGTAGCCTGTATGTAGCCACCTCTAGTTTAGTTCTTGCAGTATTCACTAGATGGCGGTACCGTCCCCTGTATATGTCACTGTTCCAGTTCAGATATATCTGTCAAGACGGATGTCATAGTTCAAGATGGATGCTTACCTCCTGTGTTTTTTTTTTCAGATGCATCTGGTGCACACTAACAAGAAATACGCCACGGCTGAGGAAGCCTACAGACATTCTGATGGTCTCCTGGTTATCGGCGTGCTTTTCGCGGTATGCCGTCATAAGTGATACTTGGCTGTCGTTACTGTTTCATAAGCAGAACCTATATAGGTCATCATCGCCGGTGACTCAAATTTGGTCCGATGCGCAGCGGCAATCAAAGAAAGGGTGAAAGGCGACAAGAGAGTTGCGATAGGGACGTTCCCAGGACAAACGCTGGGGACAGTAATGAGTCAAGCGGGTGAACAACTCGCAGCTAAGGCTGGCAATCGTAACCTCGTTGTAATTGCGGGAGGGTTAAATGACGTCCTGAAAAAAGAATCGTCAGGACTAGCGACGGCCTTGGCGAGAGGGGTGGATGACATGCGCACCGTGTCCCCCCAGGTGCAAATTGTAGTATGCACAGTACCGGAAGTACCGGTGTGCAACGTCAACCTGCGAAGAGCGGTTGTCGACGCAAACAAGGAGATATGGCGGATTAGTCGAGAGAAGGGTTTCGAGGTAGTGGATTTAAACAGGGAAGTGCACAGGTGGGGTGGATTCCAAAGAGACAGGATTCATTTCGATAAGAGGCTTGGACACGAGGTGGGCTGGCGACTGGCAGGACGCGCAGTAGCTTTTTTGGGGGGCTCACGGGCCCTTCGGAGTCCGGGGTAGCTCGTAACAGGGAAAGCAACCAGGAGGACGCTTTGACAGGTAGAATTGCGAAAAACCAGAAAAAAGGTAAAAGAAAAAGGAAAAAGGCGCGTGTTGCAATTAGTTACATAAACATGCAGGGTGGCAGAAAGAAGGCAAAATGGTTAGAGATTGAGGAGCAGTTAAACAAAGAACAGATAGGCGTGTATGCGGTTACAGAAACACACCTTAGAGACTTGGAAGAGCCACCACATATTAAAAATTATGTTTGGGAAGGGTGTAACAGGACCATATCGGAAAGGAAAGGTGGGGGTGTAGGAATGCTAATTCACCGCGGAGCCAAATGGGTTAGAGTGAAACAGACGTGTTCAGAGCACCTCTGGGTTCGGGGCACAGTAGGTGGAAAGGAAACGTGGCTAGGGGTAGCCTACTTGTGGACGGGGAATAACTGCAGAGAAAAGAATCAGGAGATAGTGGATTGCATGAGTGCGGATATTAAGGAATTTGGTAATGGGGCCGAAATCATCCTTCTAGGGGACATGAATGCCCACATACATGACCTTGACGGATATTCAGACACCAATGGGAAGTTATTACTAGATCTTTGCGAGCAACATAGTCTGGAGATAGTTAACACGGGGCCTAAATGTGACGGCCAGATCACATGGGAAGTCGGAAACAAGCAATCAAGTATTGATTATTGTCTCATGACTGAAGGAATTTACCACAAACTGACAGAAATGAGGATAGACGAGGAAGGCATTAACAGCTTGGGTAGTGATCATAAACGAATAACATTACAAATGGGATACGAAACTGAAAATATGAGCATGGAATCAAAGTCTGGCAGCTCGTATTTAAATGACAAACAAATAATAAATATAGCCGCAAGAGTCGAGGAAGAAGTAGGCGAAATACCAGGCAAGGACTGAGAGTATAGTGAGCTGTTACATCTAATGACGAAGGAGATAGGGAAAGAGAAGAAAACTGTTTGCTGGAAAGGAAAAAGGAAGCCAAAAAGTTGGTGGAACAAGGAAATCCGGGAGGCGATCGAGAAGCGACGCGAAGCCTCACGGGAGCATAGAAAGGCAAAAAAGGAGAAGCGGCCGCAGGACGAAGTCAAAAAAATATGGGAAATATATTTAGAGAAAAAATCCCTTGTACAGAAATTGGTAGAGGCAAAAATTAAAGGTGAAAGTGAACGCTGGATGACAGAGATACACGAAAAAAAGGAGGCCGCGCCTAGGATTTTTTGGAGCCACATAAAGGCGCTAGGTAGGAAGTCTGTCACAACGCAACAACATATTCTAGATGAAGGAGGAAATCAATTGGAAGGGTACGAAGCGCTAGGTTACATCCAAAAGGTAACAGCCGATTCGTTTCAAAAGAGCGTCCAGGGGATCTCCCCGGTGAGAAAATGTGTGGCGGAGAAAGCAACAGAGGAAGAGCTAGTACTTGATAATTTCAACTGGAAAAAGGCCGAAGGAAAAATTCCAAAGCGCACTGCCGCGGGTTTAGATGGGATTCCCGTTAGCCTCATTAACGAACTAGGACATAACACTAAAGAAGCATTGTTAAAAGCAGTAGAAAAAAGCTTAAAGGACGGACAAATACCGGACAGTTGGCGACAAAGTAGAATGAACTTAATCTATAAAGGCAAGGGAGAAAAGGACAAGATTCGCTCGTATAGACCACTAACCATTACATCGGTACTATACAGGATGACGATGCAAGCAGTAAAAATGAAAATAGAAACATGGGCCGAACATAACGATATTTTGGGAGAACTTCAGAACGGATTTCGAGTCGACAGGCGGTTAGACGATAACCTGTTTGTTCTCACTCAGTGTATAGAAATATCCAAAATAGAGAATAGGCCCTTGTACGTGGCTTTTCTAGACATCACTGGGGCATACGACAACGTTAATCAGGAAATTTTGTGGGATATATTGAAAGGAATGGGCATGGGCGACGACTGTGTACAGCTTTTGAGGGAGATATACCGAGAAAATAGAGTTTGCATAGAGTGGGAAGGAATGCGTAGCAAAGAGAACGTTGATGTTAGCAGGGGTCTGAGACAGGGATGTCCTTTGTCCCCGCTGTTATTCATGCTGTACATGGTGAGTATGGAAAAAGCGCTAGAAGGTAGCAACATTGGTTTTAATCTGTCACACAAACAGGGCGGCATGATGATTGAGCAGAAGCTTCCAGGTTTATTTTATGCGGACGATATCGTCTTATTTGCGGACAGTCGAGATGATATACAGCAGCTGGCGAATATATGCGGAAGGGAAGGTGAAGCTCTTGGACTAGGATTCAGTGTAACGAAGTGTGGATTGATGGTATTCAATGATCCCTGTGATCAGACGGTGTCCATACAAGGCCAAGAAATACCGAGGGTAAGTGAATACAAGTACCTTGGAGTATGGGTAAATGAGAGTGATAGATACATGGAGGTACAGGAAAAAGCCTCGGCAGCAAAAGGAAAGAGGAATGCGGCAATAATGAAGCACAGAGCGTTGCGGGGATACAATAGGTATGAGGTGCTTCGAGGTCTGTGGAAGGGTGTAATGGTTCCAGGGCTTACTTTTGGGAACTCAGTGGTGTGCATGAGGGCAGAGGTGCAAGCGGGAATGGATGTAAATCAAAGGACTGTGGGACGCCTCGCGTTGGGTGCTCACGGGAAGACGACAAACGAGGCTGTAAAGGGCGATATGGGGTGGGCAGGTTTTGAGGCGAGGGAAGCGCAGAGCAAAATAAGGTTCGAAGAAAGGCTAAGAAATATGAAGGAGAGTAGATGGGCAGAGAAGGTGTTCCGTTATTTGTATAGGAAGAGCGTGGACACACAGTGGAGAAAAAGAACTAGAAGACTCACTAGTAAGTATACGGCTGGTATTGTAAGCCATATGTCAACAAAGAGCGTTAAGGGAAAAGTCAGGGAGGCGGAGAGGATTTACTGGATGGCAGCTATGGAGAAAAAACCGGCTTTGAGTAACTACCGAAAGGGCAAAAATGAAATAAGGAGGGAGGCATTTTACGATAATTCAAGGGGAAGCGCTTTACTGTTTGAAGCGAGATCGGGTTGCCTTAGAACGCGTAGTTATAAAGCAAGATTCAGTAAAGAAGAAGAACAATGCACATGCTGCGGGAAAGATAAGGAAACGGCGGAGCATGTTCTGATTGAATGTGGAGATATCCACCCAGGTGTACGTTTGGGCACGAGCCTACAGGAAGCCTTGGGTTTTAGGGACAACAATGGAAAGCTGAACACACCCGCGATTGAAATAAGTAAGAGACGGTTAGAGTATTGGTGGCAGAAAATTAGAGAGAAAGGACAAAAAGAAATATTGAAAAAATAAAATATGGACAGTGTGCCGTAAATGGCAGAGAACTTAAGCTGAAAATTTACCTTTTTTTCCATTAAGATAGACTTTATCGAAGTAGAGGCATTAGGCCAACATAAAAAGAAAAAAAGGTTTTTTTTGTTTTTTTTTTTTTGTCGAGCTTGGTGGCATACTTGTCACCACCCCGTTATAAAGGGGACGCTCATAGCATCCATCCATCCATGTAGCCACCTCTAGTTTAGTTCTTGCAGTGTTCACTAGATGGCGGTACCGTCTCCTGTATGTAGCCCCCTCTCGTTTAGTTCTTGTAGTGTTTACTAGATGGTGGTACTTGTAGCTGATGATGAAAAGATGCAAGATGTTATAAACTAGAAAGCGGTACTTGTAGTTGATGAAAGACGCGAGATCTTATAAAATAGGAATGATGTCACATATGGCGCGTGTCATTGGTTGAAGGCAATCGTTCGATTTAGTGAGGCGACGTACGCTAGGGGGAGCGATGTAATAAAATCGAGTGGGCAAAATGTACGGAGGATTCATGGTTTACCAGGTTTACCTCCGGAGCTTCGCCCACTCATCATCATTCACTTCGTGGATATGGCGGAATTTTTTTTTTCGGATATCAAGAGGTGTGGGCAGGGGGTTTTGCCGTCACATCGGGCAGTTCCAGGGGAGGGAAAGAAGAGGTCACACTTGGCCCCTACCCCGAAAAGCAGCTGACGCCTGTGTGTAAAGCTCACCTCCATGGCATGGGCTTCGCCATCAATGTGGTGTTCGGTGCCGACGGTATCGTCGGCCCCCCAGTGGAAGTGGAACTGATTGAAGCTGTAGACTCCTGGTAGGCCTCTCCCAGTCACCGTTGCGCTGCTATTTCCCTTCGGGGACACCATCACTATGTTTATATATTGAGAGAAGAAGACCACAACCGACATTACAAGCACCGCCGTTATATAGAGAACACGAGGCCTGCATGAATCGGTGCACGTCACGAAAACTTCATCGACCGATAAAGGCAAACTAAGAACTGCAACAATCAACACGTTTTTAAACTGGTAAATTATGCTGTTTCAGAAGTCTATTGCTATTCAGTCTGCGGTTTAATCAGCAGTCAATACAGGTCGAACAAGGTCAAACGATGGTGTAAATTTCCTTCCCTGAATTTCGCACTATAGAATCTGACCACCGTCGCATCTGGGTGACGCCAAGAATATTTAGATGGACTCATCTTGTGTTTGCGGCATTTTTGTCACTCAAATATTGTTAGAAAAACGTGCTTGGTTGAGTGTTTGTTTTTTGTTTTTGTTTTTGAATATGCACCCGGCAAACAACGGGCCTCGCGCTAAGCCCGAGGTCGGGGTTTTTATCCCAAAACGAAGTTCCGGGGAGTTTCCTCATCAGTGGTAACAATTACGCTGCCAAAACTCGCTATGTCCCGTAGAACAACGTAGAGACCGGTAATAGATTCGTACTAGACTAATAAGCAGATCGCAACGACGTCGCACACTGCGTATAGTGCTTGACATATCACATATATTATTATTCAGAATACTGTCAATGCCGTGATGGAATTATTACAGGAGTGGTATCACATTGTACACAGTTAAAACAAGCAATACACAGATTAAGAATACATGTTGCAAGCACTTGAAATTTGAAGCGAATATCTCAAACATAGTGCAAAATTCGCCGTAGTGATAGGCAAAGAGCCTTTATGAATATAAACATCAGATGAAATGGTGGGGCTAGCAAAAAAAAACAAATACAAAACGAAATTGTAAAGACAGAGGTAAAACTAGCGACATCATCGATTCAGGAAATCACGTCTAAATAAAAGTCAGCACACATTCACTCGCTCGATCAACAAATTCATCAACTGTCGGCTGTGTCAACACGGCCGTTATATAAATACCTGTGTGGCCGTTATTCAAAACGTAGGCGTTCTGCAGATTTTTATCATAGTTGGAGTACCGAAGAAGGCCCAGCGAGACGTTGTAGGTGGTCTCGTGCGTTTTGATGTCGATGGGTGACTGGTACTTGCCGCCGCACTGGTTCTTCACGCCCATGCGAAGCTCGGGCCACTCGTCAGTCCCTGCGGATCGATGGCTGTTAGACACGTACGAGACGGTATTCAATACGAAAGGGGCACTGCAACACGTTTCCAAGTAGCCATGGAGTGAGTTCTCTGAAGGAGCTTATTGCATCACGAATTGACGGGCTTATTAATTTTTACAGTCCGTCTATGTATGAGCGGAGTGACGAGGATTTTTCGCACGCTGCAATGACGAATTCTCGCTTCTCTCGTCCCGACGAATGCGCTGGAAGCTACGGGGTAAAAAGGTATGTACATCACGCCCGCCTCTTAACCTTGAACACGTCTGTCTATAGTTTTTCGTTTTTTTTTTTATTCCGAACGCGTGGCTTTTCAGCTCGAGCTCACGTTCGTGCACCCCAGTAATTCCCGAGCGCGCCGTGCTGAAATCAGCCAATCGCGTGATACTTTGGCTTATGACGCAATGATTCTATAGTATAAAGCGTCACATCTCGAGAAAGGATAACGCAATTTTTTACTGAATTTGAGCATTTATTTTAGGTTCCAGGCCGTGTGTGGCGCTATAATGTTTGGCTCGCGTGTTCGGGAACGTCGAGTACCGATGGGAAGCGTTTTGTGACCATTCTCCTAGTGTTTCAGGGCCCCCTTTTATGGAGAAAGCTCTAAATGCCCCACCAAGCAGCAAAGTTGATGGCCGGTATCGGTGGCATCAACACAAGTGATACTAAACGGCACCACGCGTGCAGACATCGCCATATGACGTCATCATAACGTTACAGATTGCCAGAACATGCGATGTCACTATGACGTCACATGACAGGACATTAAATGACGACGTCGTCACGTTGTTAAAAGGTGAGCCGATCACGGAGGGAGTGCAAACCAGGTGAGATGCAGAAAGCTTGCAGTGCCTCCGATCTTGAAGGCAGTGCAAAACAACATTAGGCGCGGACAACTTTCGGAGGGTTGAGGCGGAGGATCAACACATTGACTGGGAAGAAAAAGAAGGACATGGCTTTCGCCTAGGAGTCGTCTTAGGCAGTGACGTAGCCAGAGAGTGGAACGCAGGGCCCATGCCTCCCACCCCTTTCCAACCGATTTTTTTTTCACGGCATACACAGCACATTTAAACTGATATTAGACCACATCTGCCTGCACGGCCCCTACTTCACATCAAAGAGGTGACCCCCCCCCCCCCCCCCCCCCGCGGGCTAAATATTTACTTACACGTACTCCTGGTCTTAGGCGATGCATAAGGGATCCTGTGGGCTTTTTTTTTTTTTTTTTGTCAGATCAGCCTGTATCACTCAGCAGGATGTGTTTTAACGACGAGAAAGAAGCTGTTTAATGAATAGTGGTGAGGTTTAATGAGGGCTGGAGAGCATAAGACCCCCTGGATACCGGACATGCTTTTGGTGCATGTAGACGGGTTTCTACTTTCTTCAACCACTGTCCCTCGCAGCCATTGTCATCCGCCATGCTCCGTCTTACAGAGCGGCTGAGTACAACTGCGAGTCGCTTACAGTTTCTTGTAGCACTTCTCTCACAACAGCATAGGGAGAACGAGGCGGACCACAACAGCTTCCAGCCCAAAATGCTAGCCCCGACGAGTAAAAATGCGTCAGCGGCACTTAAACGCTTGATTACATATCTTTAATAAACAGTATACGGTGATATGAACACTTGAAAGCCTACTGCATACAATCACAGTTTCACCGCAAGGGCGAAGCAACTAATGCGATAGCAGCAAAATGTATTGTTATGTGAAGTAAGTCTAGCAGCTAAGTCTGTTGGATCCGATATCGCGTAGCTCTACAAAACGCTGGTATAAGATAATGTGCCATAATGTACTGCACAAAAAAAAAAACGTACGGAAACACGAAGTAGAGAAAAAGGACAGACAAGCGCGTCTTGCCTGTCCTTTTTAAATGCGAAGCATTTCATAGCGAACTTCGGCGACTTTGAGCGTATCTATCTATCTATCTATCTATCTATCTATCTATCTATCTATCTATCTATCTATCTATCTATCTATCTATCTATCTATCTATCTATCTATCTATCTATCTATCTATCTATCTATCTATCTATCTATCTATCTATCTATCTAATCTAGCCGCCTACGACTTTGAGCTCTCCTGGCCGTTTCTATAATAGTATCGACACCAAACTTGGTGTGGCATAACATGAATGTAGGAAGAACACATTTGACTAATCATAACATGAAAATCATGACATGTATGTCATAAATGTCATGGTTAACATTTCATGGTCCTGCAGCTGTTGTGGTGGTTTCGTTCACATGGCATGTTGCAAAACTGCTATGGTATGACATGATTGCATGGTGAACACAAGCGACAGACCCTAACATGAAAATCACGACATGCGTGTCATGTAACAACATGACCACATGCCACGCTCATGATGAGCCCGCGGCCGTTTCGCTAGCGTCACATATACCGAATTTGGTATTACGGTACGTGAATGGATGATGAAGGTATGTGACTGGTGCAAACATGATAATCATGTTATGCGTGTCATGTAACAACATGACTACATGCCACGCTCATGATGCGCTGGCGGCCGTTTCGCTAGCTTCACCTATACCAAATCTGTTATTACGGGACGTGTATGGAGGACGAAGGTCTGATATGGTGCAAACATGATAAATATGAGATGCGTGTCAAACAACATGACTACATGCTACGCTCATGTTAAGCTCGCGGCCTTTTCGCTAGTTTCACATGTACCAAACTCGGTATTACGTGATGCGAACGGACGACATAGGTAAATGACACGTCCAAACATGATAATCACGATATGCGTGCCATTAACAACATGACTACATGCTACACTCATGATGCGCTTGCGGCCGTTTCGCTATCTTCACATATACCAAGTTTGGCATCACGTGACGTCAATGGATGACGAAGGTATGTGACTGGTGCAAACATGATAACCATGAGATGCGTGTCATGTGAGAACATGACTACATGCGACAGTCAAGGCGCCAATACATTTCGACGTGACGCGGTGCGCGTGCTCGCCGGCATTCATTTCGTTGCGTCACGCCGGCGTTGTAACGCCAGGCGCCGCTCCTGCCATAAACTCGCAGGCGCGCGCCGCGCTGCGTTGCTTTGACGCATGCGCGTTTCAGCACGTCTAGCGTCCCTCCGTCACGAAAAGAGGGAGACGCAGTGCTGTCTGGGTAACGCATCGGCACGAAATGCAGCATGTCGCATTCCGCGCCTGTTGCAGTCGGGCCACGCCAATGGACGCTGGTCGCGCCGGTCGCGCCTGGCGTCAGACTAAAGAGTGCTCGCGTTTTGCTTACGAAGCGTCGCTGTGTCCAGCGTGCGCGCGCGTCAACGCTACATTGGAGTATATTGGGTCCTTCATGATGCGCTCGCGGCCGTTTTGCTAGGTCCACATATGCCAAATTCGGTGTTACGTGACATCAATGGATGACGAAAGCATATGACTGGTGCAAACATGGTAATGCTGACAAGCGTGCCTTCAAGTAAATGACAACATACCACGCTCATAGCGTGCTCACAGCCATTTGGCTAGCTCCACATATACTGAATTTGGTATCACGTGACGTGAATAGATGACGAAGGTAAACGACACATCCAAACGTGATAATCACGACACGTCAGTCATGTACGGCATCATTTACCTCCACCTCCTAACATTGTGCTGATTTTAGGCTGACATATCAACCTTCCTCATTCGTGCTTCGCATATCATAGATTCCCACTGTACTTGGGATCTGCCAACTTTTTTTTCTTTCGTTTTTCGCGCTTTTTATTAGGCGCGAAGCAGCTTATGGCGGGGGTTGTGCCCGTCCCTCACTCCCTCCCGCGGTGTTCACCACCCACAGCGCATGCGCGTTTCCTCCTCCTCTCCAACGCTCCACCATCACTCTCCCGAGTTGGCGCTGAAGCAACGCCGACTAAATTTCAAGGCCGAAAAGCTGCCGCAGTGACGTCAGAGGTTGGAGCCCAGTTGCCCAACTGAGCATGCTCAGTAAGACTTTTTTTTCCACATCTTTTATTGGGCCCAATCAAGCCGCAGCAGCTGCGAAAGCGGGAGCGTTTGTTCTCCTAAAACGTGAACGAAACGCAGGCTTTCCGCAGCGTTCGCGGCGTAACTGGGCCCCCACTGTTGCGAAGCGCCGGGCCTATCCCGCCGCTGACCTCCACTGTTGCGAAACGACGGCTCCGAATCCCACCGCTGACCTCCACTGTTGCGAAACGGCGGACCGATCCCGCCGAAGCCACCACTGTTGCGAAAGACGGCGACGCCGACGCGGTCCCGGAGGCGCCACTGCTTTCGACCCCGCCGGGAAGGTCACCAGCCGTTTGGTAGCGTATGTTTCTCAGCTCGCGACTGCTTCTGCGCAGAGCTGAGGAGACGAGCGGACGAGACGACGGTGAGTTAAACAAGGTTTATGTACAGCATATATACAGAGGCGTTACAATTTCGGCACTGGGGCCGGCAGAGACTCGAAGAGCCGAGCTCCTCTCTCTAACACATAGGTCAGCCTTTCGCCTAAAACCGCTGATCGCGACACGCCGCAGGGCTTCTTTTATTTACACCGGGCCCAACTAAAATGTCCAATCAGAAGCGCCGCTGGTCTTCAGAGCAGGCTCCTCCAATGGGGTTCGCCGCGCGATGCGTCAGGCCACCAGACATGAGGACGCCGGCTCGCTGTCACGTGCGACGCTGACTCAATGCACGTGGGCCACAGATGCGCCGCGCGTGTTCACGCCGTGGAGTTGTTCGCGCCCGGCGGGCTGCGGGCTGGCCTTGACCCAGATTGCCTGTTTCAGAGGCACGGACGTTTGACGAGGACTCGCTGGCATAACACCACCCTCTGACGTCACTGCGGCAGCCTTTCGGCCTTGAAATTTAGTCGGCGTTGGCTGAAGGCAATCCGAAACGCTTCCTCAGTAGTGCAGCGTCCACACCACCACTGCGCATGCGCATCCTCCTCTTCCTCTCTCCTCCCCTACGCTCTCCCTCTTTCTCC